GTGTACTATATGTTTATGGGCAAAGACATATACAAATGCATATGCTTTTTTAAACACAAAGGGTTGCATACTATACATACTGTTCTGTACCTTGCTTTTTCCCCCTTAACCATGAGTCTCCTAGATCCTATTATACCAGCACATAAAGAACAATCTCGTATTTTCAGACCACCTTTTCGCAACTGTGCAATTTGCTGTAGGGCTATGCCGTTGATGAACCTGGTTATCCTAATGGGTTGTCCTAATCATTTACTATTACAAACACTTAAATGAACTTGTATGTGTAATTCTTGCATATGTACAGCATTTCCTTTTTTAAATTTATTTTTTATTTATTGATTTTTAGAGACAGGTAGAAATACCAATTTGTTGTTCCACTTATGCATTCATTGGTTGATTCTTTTTTAAGGTTTTATTGATTTACTTTTAAAGAGAAGGGAAGGGAATGAGAAAGAGAGGGAGAGAAACATCAGTGTTTGAGAGATACATGGATTGGTTGCCTCTTGCACCTGGGACCCGGCCTACAACCCAGGCATGTGCCTTGACTGGGAATCAAACTGGTGACCTTTTGGTTCACAGGCCAGTGCTCAGTCCACTGAGCCATATCAGCCAGGGCTCATTGATTGATTCTGTATGCGTCCTGACCAGGGATCGAACCCACAACCTTGATGTATTGGGACAATGCTCTAACCAACGGAGCTGCCCAGCCAGGGTCTGTACAGTATTTCTGTAGGATAAATTTTTGGAAGTGTAGGTTATAACCTATATGCATTTAAAAATTTAAGAGTGAGCCCTGGGCCGGTGGCTCAGTTGGTTGGAGTGCCATCCCGTACACCAGAAAGGTGCAGGTCCCCTCCCTGTCAGGACACATACTTAAGTTGCAGGTTCAATCCCCAGTTGAGGCATGTACAGGAGGCAACCAATCAATATCTCTTTCTTTCCCTCTCTCTCCCTTCCTCTAAATTGATAAACATATTCTCTGGTGAGGATTAAAATAAATGTTTAACAGTTAGTTCCAAATTGCCTTTTATTGAGTTGGCCCAATTTACATATGCCCTCACCAATGCAGTGCATTATCAAGCTATTTTATTTTGACCACTTTGATAGGTTCAAATTGTATTTCATAGTCTTGATGTGCATTTATCTTACTAACAATGAGGTTGTGCATCCATTCATATTTTAAGAGCCATCATAACATTATTTTATATTTCATGATAGCACTTACTCAGGTTTCTATACAGTGAGGACAGTTACACAAACAGCTGGATGAATTTTATAACATATTATGACGTTCATGTCACCATTACCCAGATTGAGATCTAGAGCATTTCTGTCACCCCTGAGAAGTTCCCTTGCGCCTCCTTCCTGTCAGTGCCACTCCCAGGCAGCCACTGTGTCGACTCCTATCACTATAGATAAGTTTCATCCATTCTTGAATTTCATGTAAAGGGAATACTACAGTATGTGTTCTTTGTGTTTGAGTTCTTTCACTCAATTTTGAGTGAATTTTTTTCATGCATTTTTGAGATTTATTGATGTTCTAGTATGACATCATTTTACATAGCAGAAAGGAATAAAATATATGTACACACCATAATTCCATCACTTTTTAATGTAAACCAGTCTCCTAAATGTTACTCTGAGTTGTTTTAAATTTCTGGTGGTTGCAATCCGGGTGATAGTAAACATCCTTGTAGCTAAGTATTTGCTACAAATATATTTGGGTCAATGGATACACACAATTCAAGGCTTTGATTATGTATTTTTGATTTGCACCCATAAAATTCGCTTGGGTGTACTGTCCTACCAGAAAAGAGTGAGTGAGGATGCTCATTTCAAGGAAATTATATGTCCTTGAACCCTCAGCTGCACTGTGTATAACAATGGAGTTTTTGTTTTGATAGGTGAATACTGATGTTGCCATTATATTTTCCTTTTTTGGAAATGTTGGACATTTTTATGTTTAATGAACAATTTGTATTTTTCTTCTGTTGTTAGTAGCTAGTTCTTGTTCATTTTTTATGTTTAGTTTTGTGTTTTTCTTCCTAATTAATGAGAACTTTTTATATAGTAAGAATATTAATGTCTTGTCCTGATGGGTGGCTCAGTTGGTGGAAGCGCAGTCCCATCCACCAGAAGTCTGCAGGTTTGATCCCCAGTCGGGGGGCATATAAGGCGGCAAGCAATCGATGTTTCCCATGTCAGCGTGTGTGTGTGTCTCTCTCTGCCCCTCTTCTCTCTCTAAAAGATCAGTAAAAACAGATCCTCAGGTGAGGATTTTTTAAAAAGAAAATTAATGTTGTTGTTTTAAAAACTTGAAATTTTCTTATTTAAAAATTTTGTATTTTTTTTGAAAAGTTTAAAATCTAAATCCAAAAGAATAGAAATCTAAAAATCTCATTCTCCAAGGATATTCTTTGTTAACATGTTTTTCTATGCAAGATACAGAAAATATACTTTTTTTTAACAGAAATGGAATAATTGTTTACACATTTTTTACACTGATACTATTTTTAAAACCACCTTTTAGCTTAATATACCTTGTCAATTGAGCGCGGGCCTGCGAACCAGACAATCGCGGTTCGATTCCCAGTCAGGGCACATGCCAGGGTTGCAGGCAGGTTCCCTGCAGGCCAGTTCCCAGCAGGGGGACGCACAAAAGGCAACCATACATTGATGTTTCTCTCCCTCTCTTCTTCCCTTCCCCTCTAAAGATAAATAAATAAAATCTTAAAATATATATATATATATATATATACACCTTGTCATGTAATTACATCTATCCATACATGTTTTTATCCTTACTCAAGGACATTTTTTATTGCTTTTAGAGAGAGAAACATCGAGGTGAGAGAGAGAAACATCAATTAGTTGCCTCCTGTATGTGACTGGACCTGGGATTGAACCCTCAGCCTAGGCATGTGCCCTGACCTGGAATCAAACTGGGAACCCTTAGGTTACTGGATGGTGCTCCAACCAACTGAGCCACACCAACCAGGGCATAACATCATCTACATATTTTTAATTTAAAAGCAATATGTTGTCATTGTAAAACATTTAAATATCACAGGAAAAATGTAGTAAGTATAAATCCCTGTCATTCTGCTCTCCGGTGATATTCACCATGAGCAGTTCTTTGTATAGTCTTTCATATCATTTTTCTGAGGTCTTCTATCCATACGTATTATATACATTGTTTTTAAAATATAATCACAATATATACATTGTTTTTATGTTTTTACCTGACAGTCCATCTCGGACATGTCAATATATGTGAACTAACCTGGCTTATTTTAAGGGGGTAGAATACAGGGGTGTCAAAACCAAGGTCTTGATGGATGTTTGAATTGTTTCTAGTTTTTCTTGAGTACACACCTCTTTGGTGAACATCTTTCAGTGCTTTAGCAAGTGTTGTAAAATGAATACCTAGCACTGGAGTTGTTGGTGCAAAGTACAAAAGGCATGGACATTTAAATTTTAATGGAACTGTCCTCTAGAAAGGCGCTATCCATGCACAGTAGTCCCTTCACTGCAGAGCGCGCCTTCACGGCCTCTTTCTCTTGGCAGATTCTGGTTGGGGCCCCACAGCCTTTCACCAGAGAGACTAGTTAACTATTCCAGGTAGATTTTTATGGTAAACCAGACTTTTCTAATCTTTTTAATATTAGAAAATAATATGTATTTTCCTTTAGGCAAAGAAGTAAAAAGAAGGAAACCAGATAATGTACTATTGCTTCACCCTCTTTGTCCTTACAATTTTTAAAAATATATTAAACATGGTTTTAAAATGACAACAATCTAGAATAGAGAATGAAAAATGAGAGCCTTCTGTCTTTCAGTTTCCGTCCCCAAAATAACCACTGTTCATACTTTTGTGTCATTTCTTCTAGAAAAAAATTCTATGTATAGATGCACAACCCCAGCTCTAGCCCAGTTGTATGACTTTCCTTAATTATTTAAAACATGTCCCCCAAACTCTGGTGCCCGTAGATGTAGCGGCTTGCACTTCATTCAGTTGGGTAAAGATGGACTTTGTAGTCAAACAATTTGACGACTAAGATATAGTCTCTTGATACTGAATGGCAGGAAAACACAACTCAGAAATTTGTCATGTGATGGAGAACAAGCATGGTCTCATTTAATGTCACCAGAGATCTTCCCTTTGGTATGATTAGATATCAAATATAGTCTTTGTTTGACTCACTGGGTTGTAAATATTTTGTATCCTTAACATTCTTTTATTTTATTTTATTTTTATTTTTATTTAATTATTTTTCAAGTACAGTTTTCTGTCTTTTATTCCCATCCCAGCCCACCCCTCCCCCCCATATCCTTAACATTCTTATCAGCACACACGATTTATACCATGCTACCTGAGTTAAGCAAAGTACTTGTAGGTCTGAGAGACTTGCTTTACATTCCTTAAAGGGAGACCCATATTTATGATTTTATGTAATCCTTTCTAAAAGGAGCTTGTTTCCATAATAGCTCAGCAGCTCAGTATATGTATATTTCATTACACAATAGGGAACATTTTCTCATATATACATATGTATATCCCTAACTTAGCATCTTTCACTTAAAACATCTTGAAAGTCCTTCCATATGAGGACATAATGGATCTATAGAGGAAGATAGTTTTTAACTCGGGGTAGATCTTTAAAGTTAATGAATTGTTCCGCACTTTTCATAGCCTGTGGCCAGCCCTGTTGTTATCCCACTGGTTTCCAAGGGCAGGGGGTCCGGGGTATTGGAACACCAAACCATCACACCCAGCCTGAGTTCCCCTCACACAGTCTCACTGTGTAACATTCCTCAATGGCACAACTCTTGGTGTCAACACTAAATTTTGTTTTTCTCTCTCTAGTTTCCCTCCCCCCAGTCACCATCCATGCACGTGGGTGGCTGAAGAACGAATGCCTCCTCAGGCTGCTGGATGAGGTCTCATTATTTCTTCTCCCTTGCACCCTGCCTGCTGATGTTTTCTATTTCCACTCCAGGGGAAGCCATATGTCTTTGACCGTGTGTTCCCCCCAAACACGACTCAGGAGCAAGTTTACCATGCATGTGCCATGCAGATTGTCAAAGGTAATGGCTGCAGTTCTTGAATGTATTTGTTCGGGCTCCCTATTCCCTACCCCAGTTCTTTCCACCAGTGTTCTTTCTCCACCATTTCTTCCAGACGTCCTTGCTGGCTACAATGGCACCATATTTGCTTATGGACAGACATCCTCAGGGAAAACACATACCATGGAGGTGAGGGCTCTGACTTCCATGGAGGGTGAGAGGCTGGGAGTGTTCATGGGAGACAGGAAATCCCAGTGAGGGAAGGGCTGGGAATCAAGGGCTGCCTGGTGCAGAGGTAGCTGGATCCAAGGATGAACTGAGGGGCAACAATCTGATGCAAATTTAATGCAGTCCCTTCAGCCTGCTGTAGTTTACCCTGCTTTCCACTGCTCCAGTTTTCTTCTTTTGATCTGGAAAAGCAACAGCAATAAAAGTTCAAAGGGCCACTTGGTTCTGCCCTCCTTCCAAGAAAAGTGAGACAAGGCAGTGACCATCTCCCAGCGTAGGATGGCTCCCATCGACTCTCACCTTTGTTCTCATCTGCGTTCCTCTGAGTTGTCTCATTCTGCCTGAGCTCCAGTCTTATTCTGGAATGTCCTTACTCCCCAGGGGAAGCTGCACGACCCCCAGCTGATGGGAATCATTCCTCGAATTGCCCGAGATATCTTCAACCACATCTACTCCATGGACGAGAACCTTGAGTTCCACATCAAGGTGATCAGGGCATGGCCCTGGGTGCCCTCAGATGGGGACTGGGTGGGGAAGATCTAACATGAACTCACTGAGAGCCTGGCACCTCAACTTACTCTCCCCTCTGGTACCTCAGTCCTTCTCCCCTAAGATACTTTCGTTCCCCTCCTGCTGCCACTGTGGGAGCAGGTCACATTAGCTTGAGATTCCTTAAGAGAGGCCTTCTTTACTTCATACTCCTCCTTTCTCCCTAACCAGGTTTCCTACTTTGAGATTTACCTGGACAAAATTCGTGACCTTCTGGATGGTGAGTGGGCGTGTAAGGAGGGCAAGGAAAAGAAAGATCACATGGCTCTTGGGTTTAGGTACTGTTTGGCAAGAGAAGCGGAGGGCACACGAGGGCACACACACCCATACTTGTGTCCCTTGCCTCCAGTCACCAAGATTTTAAAAAACCAAGAGGGTCAAGGGAGGAATTTAGATGCACAGGCCTATCTATAAATAGCCTGAGGTGGGCTGGACCCCTGGAGCTGTGATCCTGGAGAAGGAGAAACTGCAGGGAGTTTAGGCTTCACAGGGGAGTCTTCTTCCCTTTTGTACATAGAAGAAACCAGCATCTAGAAAAAAATTCTATGTATAGATGTGGGCTGCAGGGTGCAGGAGTTGGAGGGGTGGGGAAGTGGAAGTGATGGCCTTCCTCACCTGTGTTGTCTGATTCAGTGACCAAGACGAATCTGTCTGTGCATGAGGACAAGAATCGGGTGCCATTTGTCAAGGTGAGAGAGAACAGGGGCACCCAGGGTATTCTGAGTGTGGGTGTGGGAGAAGGGAGAACCGTGACCCAGAAGTGGGAGGGTGTGTCTCCTGGAGGGGTGAGATGTGCCAAGGGGCTGGGGAGAGTCTGGGCCTTGGAAAGGACATTTTCTGGAAAGGCCATTCTGTCAGGTGTGCAGGTAATCAAATTCGCAGGTCAGAGTTTATAGGCCGTCATCCATTCGCCCCTGCAGGGTTGTACTGAACGCTTTGTGTCCAGCCCGGAGGAGATTTTAGATGTGATTGATGAGGGGAAATCGAATCGTCATGTGGCTGTCACCAGTGAGTGGGGATATAAGAGACTTTTGAGTCTGGGGTCTACCTCTCCTCTGTGCCTTTGGGGATTGAGAGACTCAAAAGAGAGCAAGGGAAGACTGTCCTCCAGAGGAGAAGGGACCCTGTTTCTGTGACCCTGCTGCCCTGGAAATGCAGTCGCAGGGCCCTGTCTTTTGGTGGGTGGGGTCGCGGTCAGGGGAAGCCAGGCTGAGGGCTTCGGTCTGCGGGTCGGTGCCAGGACGCCCTCTGCCTTCCCCCTGCAGACATGAATGAACACAGCTCTCGCAGCCACAGCATCTTCCTAATCAACATCAAGCAGGAGAACATGGAGACTGAGCAGAAGCTCAGTGGGAAGCTGTATCTGGTGGACCTGGCTGGGAGTGAGAAGGTTGTGGGTCTTGGGTGGGGAAGGGGGGCGGTGGTGAGGGAAGGGAGCCTTGGGGAGAGCTGGCCTTTTTTAAAGATCAAAATAACTTTTTTCATTGAGAGATAATTCATGTTCCATAAAGTTCACCATTTAAGAGTGTACAGTTGAGTGGTTTGGGGGACATTTGCAGTGTTGTGAAACCATCACCCCTAATTCCAGAACATTTCCATCACCCATTAACAGTCACTCCTGTCCTCCCCTCCCCCATCCCCTGCAACCGCTAATCTGCTTTCTGTCTCTATGAATTTTCCTTTTTTGGACATTTCATGTACATGGGATCATATAATATGTATGATATGTAGGTGGAAGGGGGTGGATTTGGCAAGAGAATTTAGGGAGATAGAGAAAGGGCCTTTACCTCCCCTCTTTGGAAGCTCTTACGTGCAGGGCCGGGGGAAGAGCCCTCTCCCTGTGCAGCGACTCCTGACACACTTGTCCCTTAACGCCCTGGTAGGTCAGCAAGACTGGAGCAGAGGGAGCCGTGCTGGACGAGGCAAAGAACATCAACAAGTCACTGTCGGCTCTGGGGAACGTGATCTCTGCCCTGGCTGAGGGCACCGTGAGTGTTCCTCCGGTCCTCTCACCCTCAAGGCCCCCCTCATCCCCGACCTCCTCCTAGTGCTGCCATCTAACCAGGCCCCTCCTCGTGGACTGCCCGATTTCTAGCCCAGCCAGGTCCTTTCTGGTTCCCCTGTTACATTTCTTTTTCTAATTCACGTCTCCCTCCTCCCCCAGAAAAGCTATGTTCCGTATCGCGACAGCAAAATGACTCGGATTCTCCAGGACTCTCTGGGAGGAAACTGCCGGACAACTATGTTCATTTGCTGCTCACCATCCAGCTACAATGATGCGGAGACCAAGTCCACCCTGATGTTTGGGCAGCGGTCAGTGGCAGGGTTCCCAGCTCCCTGCCCAGCCCCTGCCGTGCTCTCCCCTTGGCGTGAGGCAAGCCGTAAGGGAGGTCTCATCACCTCGTTCCCTTCTCCTCACCCAGGGCAAAGACCATTAAGAACACCGCTTCAGTGAACCTGGAATTGACAGCTGAGCAGTGGAAGAAGAAGTATGAGAAGGAGAAGGAGAAGACAAAGGCTCAAAGGGAAACCATTGCAAAGCTAGAGGCTGAGCTGAGCCGCTGGCGCAATGGTTAGAGAGGAGTCTTGTGGGCATGAGAGGTGGTGGGAGGAGGAAGGGGCTTAGGGAGCCAGCGAGGGCCCTGTCTGGGGTGATGCTTAAGGGCAGTTCAGTCTCCAAGGAGAGCTGTGTTTCTGGAGGTGAGCAATGGAGCAGTCATGAGGGAAAGGGAGAGGGCCTGACTACTGTATCCCCCGACCCTTGAAAAGGTCCACTTAGCAAATGAAACGGAGGCCTGAAGGTCTTGGTGTTGAGCAGTGAGGGAGGAGGGACTGGTGGGTGCAGCTGTCCCTTCTCCCAACCCTCGCCTTGTTCTGCCCCTTCCCCAGGAGAGAATGTGCCTGAGACGGAGCGGCTGGCTGGGGAGGATGCAGTGCTGGGAGCTGAGCTCTGCGAGGAGGCTCCTATGAATGACAACTCCTCCATCGTGGTGCGCATAGCGCCTGAGGAGCGGCAGAAATACGAGGAGGAGATCCGCCGTCTCTACAAACAGCTCGATGACAAGGTGGGGACAATCAGGCAGGGCACAGTGACGAGCCCCGTGGAATGAGAAGAGAGGACTTAAAAAATTAGCTTATACTCCCCTTGTCTGATTTTAAAAGGGGTAAATGTTCATTACTGAAAATGTGGAAGATAGATAAAAATACATAAAAGGAAACTAAAATCATCACCCCACCATTCAAAAATAATGCTATTAACATTTTGCTTTTCCTTGTGCATATACCGTGCAACTGAGATGTACTGTATATGTAACTTTGCATTCGATTTTTTTAATTCAATATCATATAATGAGCAATTTCATACTTTGTTAACAGTTCTTCATAAAAGCATTTTTAAGTGGCTGCCCAACAGTCTTTACCGGAATGTATTTAACCATTCGCTCATTACAGGGCTTCTAGTTTTCTTGGTTGTGTTTGCTTTTGTTATTATAAATAATTGACTTTATTGAAAGGACTAACTTTGCCTCTCATGCATAAGATTTTGCTTTTCAATGATTTGATTAGAGCGGAGCGCTAGAGCAGGATTTCTAGGTTGAAGGATATGAACATTTTAAGAATTTTTCTATGTATTGTCCAGGTTATACCAACTTTCAGCAAGAAAGGAATTTAAAAATGAGGGCAGGAGTTGAGGAAAGAAGCGGAGGAAAAGACGTCTTTTTAGGATATGGGTTTTTTTTTAACTCAAAACCTAAATTATCCGGACTCTATTAGGATCCTACTTCCCCCTCAACCCCGTGAGTCTAGACCAGCAGGACTAGCTTCCCTTCCTTCCGTCTTTCTCTGTTGCCTCTCGCAGGACGATGAGATCAACCAGCAGAGCCAGCTCATAGAGAAACTCAAGCAGCAGATGCTGGACCAGGAAGAGGTAACGGGGAGGAGGGCCAGACGTGAGAGGAGGGGTGTCTTCATCCCTAGAAGGCATAGAAAGGGCCTTTTTACAGTCAGACGGGAGAAGGGTCATTCTGCTGGGGTTCAGTCACCCTCAAAACTGTAGAGTTCTGGGCACTTAATTAGGGCTTTGCTTAAAGCACAGATTATGGCATCTAGGTGCTTCTTCATCCTGTTGCCCTATTTTTTTCTTTTCTTTTTTTTTTAAAGATTTTATTTATGTTTTAGAGAGAAGGGAGGGAGGGAGGAAGAGAAGGAGAGAAACATCGATGTGTGGTACAAGAGAAACATCAATTGGTTGCCTCTTGCACACCCCCCAGGTGACCTTTTAAATTGCAGGCCTTTGCTCAGCCCACTGAGCCACACCAGCCAGGGCTGTTGCCCTATTTCTGAGAAGTCTAAAGCCCACTTCCTCTTGACTCTTACTTTGGGCCTTGCTTCTCTCCTAGAGCTATGCTGGGGTATGGGGGCTCAGCTTCCCGAGAACAGGGGCCACAGAAGTGGTCACTGGCAGCAGACCTGCTCACATGCCTCCTCTCTCCCTTAAAGCTGCTGGTGTCCACCCGAGGAGATAATGAGAAGGTCCAGCGGGAGCTGAGCCACCTGCAGTCAGAGAATGACGCTGCCAAGGATGAGGTGAAGGAAGTGCTGCAGGCCCTGGAGGAGCTGGCTGTGAACTACGACCAGAAGTCTCAGGAAGTGGAGGAAAAGAGCCAGCAGAACCAGCTTCTGGTGGATGAGCTGTCTCAGAAGGTGGTGAGTGTCCAGCTGGGGCAAAAGAATATCCTCCATGGCCTAAGGGGCCATTGCTTCCTTTCAGGGTCACATTGTGCTCGCACCTTTGTGCTGCTCTTCGGTGTGTCGTGAGACCCTCCCACAGCTGCTCACTGCACTTCACCCTCCTGACCCTTCTCTCTTCCAGGCCCTTCTGCGGGGCCTGTATTGTCTTCACAGCAGCCTACAGGGTCATGCATGAGGGAGAGGCTTCTGCCCGGGCTGGGGAGGGTAGTGGGAAGAGGATGGTGGGATGACCTGAGGGGCTATCCCCAGGCCACCATGCTGTCCCTGGAGTCTGAGTTGCAGCGGCTACAGGAGGTCAGCGGACACCAGCGAAAACGAATTGCTGAGGTGCTGAATGGGCTGATGAAGGACCTGAGTGAGTTCAGCGTCATCGTGGGCAACGGGGAGATTAAGCTGGTGAGTGGGAAAGAGGCAGCAGTTTTCTTCAGGTCATTTTTGTCCTGGACATTGACGGGAAATGCAAGATGGGAGAGCTCAGGCCCTTGGGGACAATGAAAACGAGGGGCCAAGATCCGGGAAACATGCTAACTAGACCCAGGAAAACAAGTGTAGGTTTTCATAGAATCAACTGAAAATACACCTTTTAAAGTATGCCAAATACAGAAGCAATGGCAGAACATATGAGATCTTGCTCCCTGACATACGCAGTCAGTTTGGCTCAAATAAATTTTTTTAATTTATTTAATTATTGTTCAAGTACAGTTTTCTGTCTTATTCTCCCATCCCAGCCCATCCCCTCAGTATTCCCCACCTCCCTCCCATTTCCACCCCGCCCCCCCGCCTTAGTTTTTGTCCATGTGTCCTTTATACTTGTTCCTGTCAAATAAATTCTTATTAAAATTCTCTTTGGAAAAAAAAAGTAGCAATGGAGATGTGATTATAGCAGGATTTAGAGAGGCGGACACAGAGTTAGGAATGATACATACAAATCTGTGGCAGGGACAACGACCCATCTGGGCGATCAAGCAGAACAGTTTGCAAAAGAAAATCATATTCCTTTTAAGATGGAAGAGGGTGACTGTCAGAATTGGGTCTTTAAGTACAGATAGAGGGATTTAGCGTGAAATGTCAGGTGATGGAGAGCTGCTAAAAGCTGTTTGGAGAACACCTGTCCCACCTGAGTCCCTGCGCACGTGGGTGTGTGCGGGGATGGGCTGAGTGGGAGGGAATGGACAGAAGCTCTCCTGTAGTAGAGCACCGCCTCTGTCTCTGGCCCCCCACAGCCGGTGGAGATCAGTGGGGCCATCGAGGAGGAGTTCACTGTGGCCCGGCTCTACATCAGCAAAATCAAATCAGAGGTCAAGTCTGTGGTCAAGCGGTGCCGGCAGCTGGAGAACCTCCAAGTCGAATGTCATCGCAAAATGGAAGTGACTGGGCGGGAGCTCTCGTCCTGCCAACTCCTCATCTCCCAGGTGAGCTCCACGGGGGAAGGTGGGTGACTCTGTGGGTATGAGATAAAACTCCTAGCATCTACCTCTATGTCAAGGGCCCAGGGTTAACTGAAGTCAAGGACAGAAGAGTTTGGGTTAGGAGGGGAGGTCTAGGCAAGAGAAGTAAAGGGTGCAGGGGGAATACTGGCCTCCAAGCTGATGGGGTCTCAAGAAAGGCTCCCTCTAGAAGCATAGCTCCTGACTTTGCATTCCTCTTGGAAGGCATAGTAGGAGCAGAGGGCCTGGGAGACAGCAGGAGTTTGCAGATGTCTGTGGTAGCCTTGGCTCCATCCATCTTCTTACTTTCACCAACCCTTCCCCCACCAGCACGAGGCCAAGATCCGCTCGCTCACAGAATACATGCAGAGCGTGGAGCTAAAGAAGCGGCACCTGGAAGAGTCCTATGACTCCCTGAGTGATGAGCTGGCCAAGCTCCAGGCCCAGGGTGAGGCCTTATTAAACCTCCAACCCATCGATTCTGAGATCTGAGATCCCAGAGTGGTCAGGGAGGGAGAGTGGCAAACATCGAAAGAAACCACTCGACAGCACCCCCCCAAAGCCATGGAGACCAACTTACATGCCACTTAGCAAGCTTTTGCATGTAGCTTATTGTGCATGAACCATAAACACTTTATTTGTCCTCTGTCCCTGCTATGTCAAATTAGACTGTCCTAACCCAGAAGGACTTCCCTGTGTGGGCCCATCCTGGGTAGATGTCCCCTGCCCTGCCTGAAGGCCTGGTCATAAATGTGAAGCTTTTCCTGGTGGAGTGAATGTGGTGTAAGCTGTTTTTCCCTCTTTTAGAAACTGTGCATGAAGTGGCCCTGAAGGACAAAGAGCCAGACACACAGGATGCAGATGAAGTGAAGGCGAGTGGGGAAGGAGTGGGGACGACTGGGGCCTGGCAGGGCTGTGCTGGTCCTCACCGAGCTGGTGCTGGGGAGTCTGGCTTTGAACACGGGGTGTTGTTTGCAGAAGGCCCTGGAGCTGCAAATGGAGAGTCACCGGGAGGCCCATCACCGGCAGCTGGCCCGGCTTCGGGATGAGATCAATGAGAAGCAGAAGACCATTGATGAGCTCAAAGAGTAAGTTTCCAAGGGTGGCTCTGGTCTCCACCCGGTCCTCTTGCCCAGCTGTGCCTACTCACATGCTCTCTCTTGGCCCAGGATCCTGGTCTTTAACTTCCATGTGCCATTCTCCCAAATGTGACATGATTTTGCAGCCCAGCTCAAGGGGGTACAAGAAGTAAGGCCTGGTCCCAGTCCTTGAGGCTCTTATGAGTATAGTTCAGGGTACAGTGGCCTGAGTTTGCCTGTGATAGTTGAAGGTAGATGCACCAATTCTAACTGGACTCACTCATACAAGAGGGAAAACGCTTGAGGGGCTGGCCTTCCCTTTCGCCATCACTCACATTCTTTATTTCTCGCCATACCTCTTGCCCTCTGCAGCCTGAATCAGAAGCTCCAGTTAGAGCTAGAGAAGCTTCAGGCAGACTACGAGAAGCTGAAGAATGAAGAACATGAGAAGAGCGCCAAACTCCAGGAGCTGACGTGAGTGCCCGGGTCCGCCTGCACCCCGGCGGCCCCACGGGCTCAGACGGCTGCTCAGCCTCTGCAGTACAGATGTGAATGTGATGACCACAGGAAGCAGAGGGCTCACCAGAATAATTTGATGGGATGGGGGAGGGAAAATAAAAAAGGAATCTTTCAGAAATGACCTCTATTGAATATTAGCTGACATTGAGAGATGTGCGTGGTGCTCTGTTAAGTGTAAAAAGCAGGTTACAAAGCAGTGTGAGCGGCCCGATCCCATAAAGTGTATATGGGATGCACACGCACAGAAAAGAGAGTGGGGAAAGGTGGACATCAGAATGTTATCGGTGGTTTGATCTGTAAGGAGTAGAATCATGAGCTTTTTGTGAAACTCGCCTTCCTTACCTTTTTTTCCCTTTTCTAATTTCTGCATAGTGAACATGGGTAACTTGAATGATAAGTAATAAAGAAATGGAAAGGGGATGGAGCGGGGCGGAGAGTCCTGAGAGAGCCTTCTGTTCCCCTCCTCCTCCAGATTTCTGTATGAGCGGCACGAGCAGTCCAAGCAGGACCTCAAGGGTCTGGAGGAGACCGTTGTGAGTAGCTTCCACTGTGCTGAGCTAACAGGGCGGGTGCTTCACCTCCTCCCTCCCGCCCTCTGCAAAGTCAGTCTGTAGCACCAGCAGGACACATCTTTTCCTGAAGGATGAGTGGCTCACTTGACTGGGTAGACCGAAGATTCCAGGAATTTCAGGGTGAAAAGGCTGGCCTGGTATTTGGCTACCCCAGTTTTTTATCATTCTTTCCAGGCCCGGGAACTCCAGACCCTCCACAACCTTCGCAAGCTGTTCGTTCAAGACGTCACGACTCGAGTCAAGAAAGTGAGTGCCATCCTCGCTCGGGTTCTTCCCAACCCTCGCTGTTCCTCCTGTTATCAGGTCCCTCCAGCCCTTTGGTCTGAGGTCAGCTGGCTGGGCCTGGTCTTGGCGGGATCTGTTTGGCTTCAGGACAGCCACATCTTCCCCTCTGTCTTTATTCAGAGTGCAGAAATGGAGCCCGAGGACAGTGGGGGGATTCATTCCCAAAAGCAGAAGATTTCCTTTCTTGAGAACAACCTGGAACAGCTTACAAAGGTTCACAAACAGGTAAGAATGGGGGGGAGGGGTGAAGAGCACTCCTAAGGCCAGGTGCCTGGGATCCCAAATCCTCGGAGGCCCCTTGGATTTAGGAAAATCTCCTTGCATGTCTTCCTCACTTTCCCACTAAACCCTTCTCTATCCCATGTTTGGTTCCACTTCTACCTGGTTCTTTGTGCCATGACTATTTTCCCTTCTCTATGCCCCCAACCTGCCTCTGCTGAAAGTGGGACCCCCGGCCTACATTGTTGGAGGGGAAGGTTGGAACTGGTGGAGGTTTCCGAGGCACCGGGTTGTAACAAGGGATATGGGTCAGACTTTAGCCAAAGACAGAAAGCAGCAAGACAAGAAGAAGCCGGGGAAGTTGAACTTTCTGTCACGGACAGAACTCCCTCTGCCTAGGCTCAGGGCAGGCACGCAGAGAAATTCAGTGATGTCCTCTAGGTGGGCAGACAGCCCCTGGTCGGGGCCAGGCCAAACTCCTGGGTGCTAAGGTACTGCCTCTCTGTCCCCCTCCCTGCTGCCGCGGTTCCTTAGGTGGATGACTGGGTTTCAAAGGTAGGGGCGGGGAGGTGGATGGGGCAGCCGGAAGGAGTCTGGACAGGAAATGTTTGGTGCAGACAGAGCCAAAGAGCTGAGCCTTGAAGACAGGTGTGACAGTGTCAACTGGCTCTCCTAACTGACTCCTAAAATAAACCCCAACCTATACTTTATTCTCCTCCTTTCAAATCCACTTTAACATTCCATTTAAACTTACGTGCTCACTAAACTGGATCTCAACCTCATTTTCCTCCCAGTACAATGCCCAGCATGTATAGTAAATACACAGGACACTGGTGTTGTTTTTTTATAGTGACAAAAATCCCAGAACTGCAGCCCAGTGAGAGTCTTAAGGGTTTATTTGTTTTATTTGGGCTTGCAGAGAGCTTTCCTACCATCCCTTCCCTTTGCTTATTATAAAACAATATGACAACATTATGGGAAGATTGAAAGAATCATTTGTTATCAGTTCTGCCATTCTTTATAGTTTCTGTGCGTTCATTTTCCCTCTCTATCTAAATGCATATTATATCGCCTTTCCCCCAACTCTTTTATTGTGGTAAAATACACATAACGTAAAACTGACCACCTCGATCATTTTTAAGTGTACATTCGCTGGTATTAAATACACTGATAATGCTGTGCAGCCATCATCGCCGTCCGTCTCCAGAGCTCTTTTCGTCTTGTAGACCTGAAACTCTGTCCCTTAAACAGTAACTCCTCCTCCCCTGGTCCCCCCAGCCCCTGGCTCCTACATCGCACTTCCTGTCTCTGATTCGACTACTGCAACTGCCTCGTGGAAGTGGAGTTACAGCATTTGCCCTTTGCTGACTGGTTCGTTTCACTTAGCATAACGTCCCCCAGGTTCATGCGTGTCGTGGCAAATGTTAGGAAACCACAGGCTGTTTTCTTACCCCCAACTGAAGCCTCTGCCTCTGCTCCAAATCCCAAAGACCAAAAGGTACTCACTAATAGCATAGAGAACTCCTCAAAATTCCCTATCTGTCTCCTCAATAGCAGACAGAGAGGAAATTGAGAGAGATAGAGAAATTCCTCCATTAACCAGATCTTAAATAGCCAGGGTTATACCCCTATTACTAATTAAGCTAAGTTATTGCCCCAGCAAAACACTGTTTATAATCTGTAGATTGTCCAAAATTAAAGGGACACAGAAGTGTTTCTAGCTCTGCCCTTCCTCCCAGCACTCCCGGCGACGCTGATTTCCCTGCTGTCTTCCACGGCCAGCTCCTTTGGTAATCCATAGTGCCCCCCCCCGGTCACACGTGTGAAACCCTGTAAAAAGATCAGGACATCTTTTCTGGCTGCAGGGTGGTTGCCACCCCACAGTAGCTTAATTTAAATGGGGGAGGGACAGCTAAGAAAATCTTTGACGGTGAAGGTAGTGAGCACAAATGTTTGTGAACCTCAAACATTTTCTTTCCTTCCTGTGGGGCATCGTGTGTATGTTTGTGTGGGGCTGGGTGTGAGGTGGGGGCTCCTGGATTCCAGCTTCTGCTCCTGCTCTGCACTGTACCTCACCTGCTCTCAGTGCCATGTCCACCCTCCAAACTGCCATAGTGCTCTCGCTGCCCTGCCCTGTGCATGCCCATAAAGCCGTGTCTGAGTGAGGGGCACCTCATCCCCATGGTCACCCTGGGGCTGTTGGTTTGGCACAAGCTGTAAGATATGGGGTGGGGTGAGTCGAGGCCAGGAGGAGACGGGGACAGATTGGCTACAGTGGAGCTGGCACGTTTTGCTGCCCAGAAAACAGTGTGACTTTGTACAATGCCTGACCATCATTTGCTCAGGGAGAAGAAAGAACTGGCTAAAACAGCAAGTTTGGTCAAGGGAACGAGGCTTTCGAGGAAACGCAACATGGTCTCTGTCTTCTCTGACTTGGTTTTTCTTTATTCTTTCTCCCCACTGGCACCCCACACTGCACTGCTGGCTCTGTCTTGGGTCACTCGCCTTTCCTTCCACCTCTTCCCCTGGGCTCACCCCACAGCTGGTACGTGACAATGCAGATTTGCGTTGTGAGCTTCCTAAATTGGAAAAACGACTTAGGGCTACGGCTGAGAGAGTTAAGGCCCTGGAGGGTGCACTGAAGGAGGCCAAGGAGGGCGCCATGAAGGACAAGCGCCGGTACCAGCAGGAGGTGGACCGCATCAAGGAGGCCGTTCGGTACAAGAGCTCCGGCAAGAGGGGCCACTCTGCCCAGATCGGTGAGTGGGGCATGGAGGGCGGTAGGCAAGGTGTGGGGACCACCTGGGGAAATTCAGCAAATTGCTGAGTGTCAAGCAACTGGATTGTTGTTTTCTTTCTCTACCTGCCCCATCATCACCCCCCCAAAAAATAAAAGTGAATTATCTTATAAGCAACTCAGTTCAACTCCAACTACTAAATGACCTCAGGGACCAAGACAACTACAGAGTATACAAGCATCCTCAAGGTCATTTTTCCATCTTTGTCACAGCCAAACCCGTCCGGCCTGGCCACTACCCGGCGTCCTCACCCACCAACCCCTATGGCACCCGGAGTCCCGAGTGCATCAGTTACACCAACAGCCTCTTCCAGAACTACCAGAATCTGTACCTGCAGGCTGCACCAGGCTCCACCTCAGATATGTAGTGAGTGACCGCGGGCAAGGGCGGAGCCCCACCCAAGGCGCTCTGCACTCTGTAAGGCATAATGTTGGGTCAGTTAATTGGGTGAGACCTAATTCTTTTTCTAAGTAGCTGCATTGATTCTTTCTCATTAATCCTTAGAAAGTGGGCATTGCCTACTGAGCCTGTGGCCATGTTTGTTTTCTGTTCTCTGGGGAGGGAAGGGATGTATGGCCCCATCCCTGAGGGTGTGTGGATGTGTCCTTGGCATGATGGAGGGTGGGTGCCAGAGGCTGCATCTTTCCTTTGCTCCATCCAGCTTTGCAAACTCCTGTACCAGCAGTGGGGCCATGTCTTCTGGCGGCCCCTTGGCTTCGTACCAGAAGGCCAACATGGACAATGGTGAGTGAGAAAGATGGGGGCACAGCCTTTGGGATCCCCAGGACAAGTTGAAAAGTAGAAGAAGAATGACTGTACCTACAGTTTGAACACAGCTCATCTGTCAGGGTCTTGGCCTCTTATAAGTAGAGTCCTCCTATTACCGTGCCTGTCTCCATCCTTCCTTGTCTTACCCCTTCCCCTCTCCTTTGTGAGGGATCAGGGAGGCTTTTTCTCAAGACAAAACCATGCTGCAATGTGGGGTGGTTGTAGGCAGAGTCCCAGAGACTCGGATGGCAGCTGTACTCCAAAGATTGTTACCGTTCCCTCCAAGGGGTTTGGATGAGACAGATTCGGGGAGACTACCACTAATGCCCAGTTTCTTTTTTCTTCCTCTAATCCTGCCTTCCCAATGATGATCTCTTCAGGAAATGCCACAGATATCAACGACAACAGGTACACCAGTCCCCACTACTCGCGGGTTCTCTGGGTGGGACCAGAGGAAATTATTACATTTCTCTCATGCCCTAGTTAGAGATTCCCCGGAGCCTTCTGGGGAAGGAAGAGGAAATGAGGATCAATCTTGTGTGCCTTCGCCCTGTTGTACAAGAGATCCCATCCCTCCCCTGCCTCGGTGCAGAATGCTACCCTGTCCTCCAGTCCCATCTGTGGCTTCTCCCCATTCCAGTTATGGGCCTGGGGAAATGCCATGGGCACCTGATGCCCTGGTTTCTCTCCTGCCTCTGGGAACTTTGTGACCTTGGGCAAGTCAGCTCCATCCCTCTGGCCTTACTTTTCCCTCTATTCCTATAAGATCCGAATAGTCCCTGCCCTTCATTATCTCATAGGAATGCCACTAGAACCAAGTGACAGGAATGCTTTCATTTATACAGAGCTGACAGTGCTGTGATTAGCTGGGTCTCTTCTTCCAGGAGTGACCTGCCATGCGGCTATGAAGCTGAGGACCAGGCCAAGCTTTTCCCTCTCCACCAAGAGACGGCAGCCAGCTAATCTCCCCCAAGGCGGCTGCATACCTGCACTTTCAGGTAGCTTCAGGCCGCTTCCTCTGACCAGCCTCAAGTTACCTGCTTTCTTGCCCTCGGCCTCTTTGTTTCTTCTGCTCTTTCTTTTATCATATCAAAGCTTTTACTACATTGTTGTCCCTCGACTCCTGCCTTTCCCTTCTAGGGCCCACATTTGTGCTGCCCCACGTCCTCTGGACACTGACCTCCCTTCCCCCGTTACACTTTCCTTTTGGTTGTAGTAGTAACCACAGTACTGCCTTTCTGCCACTAGGCGGCACTGCCACATGTCAAAAGAAGTGAGAAAGGGAGGGTGGAGCCAGAGCCACACACTGGTCATAGGACCGAAATAGATTTTAAGAGACTTTGGGAGATCATCTCAGCCCTCCCTCTGCCTCCGCCCTAAAATAATTTGGGGTGGATGGGTATTTTCTAAGACATCTCCAGTAAAAGAGATGTTCCATGTATTCCTGCACCCGTGTCCTATACTCCTCGTCTGTGTATTGCCAGTAAGTTTTAGGAAATGCCCAGCAGTCCGACTTTTTGTGTATTCAGCTGCGGTGTTAGCATCCCTCTCTCATCTTGCCCAGTGGAGGTGGAAAACAGCTGCGTCCCCGCCCGCAAGCCCTCCCCTCCCTTCCCCGCCTCAGTCCCCCGTCCTCTCCTGCAGCAGCACAGGCGCCTGCCTCTTGGTTCCTGTGTGTCACCGAGCTTCTACCGTGGCTGCTTTCGGGGCCCAGACCTGGGTGCTGTGGTCCTGTTTGATGGCCCACTTTGGAACCTTGGAGAACTAGAAAGGAGAAAACGCAGCCAGTCTCTTAAAGGGCTGCATCCGAGTGAGCCCTCTCCAGGGGTTTTCCAGAACAGTAGGCCAGGCACACACAGGCAGAAAGGCATGAGAAGCAGAGGAGTCGAATAGGGAAGGACGGGTTAGGAAGACCGGGGGTGGAGGGGGAGGGGTGAGGAGGGCGGTGTCCGGTTGTTGGAATTAAAGGAACAGGACTGCACACAAACCAGTCTGTACAATGCTATTCTTGTTCCGTGGCTGGGCTGCAGGTGGGTTGCTCACAACCTCTTTCTCTTTCTCTCCAGTTTCTAAGAGGGACTGAGGCCTCTTCTCTCAGCATGCTGCAAACCTGTGGTCTCTGATGCTAACTCCCTCCCCAACCCTCGTTATTCGACTGTACTATGTTTGATGTCTTCTCTTACTCTGTATCTCTTTGTACTCTGTATCTATATATCAAAAGCTGCTGCTATGTCTCTCTCTTCTGTCTCACTCTCTAAGTATCTAATGATGTATTTAGCAATTTCTGAGCATAGTATACCCTCCTTATTTGGGAAAATACGGAGGGCGAATGTTTCTTCTTTCTCTCACATATGCGTCTCTCACATGCGTAGCATTAGTCATGAAGATGATAAAAGGAAAAATGGAAGCTACAGGGCTGTGACCCCTCACACACATATACACACATGCACACACACATGCACACACACACGAAGCCTTAAGCAGGAGAATGTCTTAGCATCATAAAAAGATACAGAAATAGATTCTTCCTCCCTCTTCTTTCACATATAGCACAGGGGAGGGTAAAATGGAAGGATTACTAAATCATATGTAGACTTTTCTTCATTCACCTTTCACCCAAACCGAGGGATTCCAGGTATGCACCCCTGCCCTTCAAAGTCTGCCTTTGGCCTCCCTCTTCCTGTTCTCCCCTGGATGGCCGAGAACATGGATCGCTCAAGGGACCACTTCCCTTTCTCCTCAAAACTCCTTTTGATGGTCTCGACCCCAGAGCTCCTGACTAGAACCTAGAGTTGTTTTCAAATATTTTGAAAGATTGAGGAGGCAGACCCTCCTGACAGTCTGACAAATGGTCGCTCATCTTTCTCTCGTAGCAGTTATAGGCAAGCATAGTCAAATGATTGCTTCTTTAGGTTTGAGGGGAAACAGCCTTGGAAACTCATAAATATATTTTGCCATGGTGATGCGCTGGGTTCCTTTCTCTGTCCCACATGGGGCTGCATTTCTTCCCGTCTCCACCTTTTGGTTTGGGGGCTTCCAGTTCAATGGCAAAATATCTATCTTGAGATGCCTTCCTTTCATACTGGAGCCTGCCTTTCAGCCAATATACATTTAAAAAAAATGTTTTTTACAAAGAGTTCCTTCTATAATGTCCCCATCTGGTAAGTGCACTTTAAAGAAAGGGGCAGGGCAGATTTTCCAGAAGTGAAGCAACCTCAGGGTGTGAACTGGGGGGAGTCTTTTCTCCCAAGCCCCTCGGCCTCCATCTAACTGATAGGACTATTGTTTTGGTTTCAGATGGCCTTTCCTTCCACATGGTGCTAAGGTGGTTTTCCAGGTAACTGCAGGGATAGAGAATGGTGGTCACAAGAAGTGTAAATCAAGAAAGCCTGGTGCCCAAGTATTCAGTCTTGCCTAGGATGGAAGAACAGGATCCCCCAGCAACGGGCAACTATCCCCTAGTTTCTAAGTCAGGAAAGAAACCGGTGTGAGTGCGAGTCAGTGAATACAGGCCGTGTTGGCCCAGGATTCCTTCAAGGAAAGAAGTCCCTTCTCCCTTTCTCTGTTGTGCCCCTTTTACAAATTAAGGAGAAATACGAGGGGGAAATACCAGAGGGATGTGGAATCAATCCAAAGTAGTGATATTCAAACATTTTTCAAAACAAATCCTATAGAGAACCCTAGTATAAGAAGTAACTAAAAGTGATACAGACCTGGGTGGTTTGCGTTTACTTTGTTTGGTGGTAAATGCTCCATTCATTCATGGGGGAGTCCTGGGACAGTCCTGAGAGACCCTGAGAGTTCTGCAGAGTAGTTCGGAAACCTTTGCTCTGAGGAAAGGAGTTCAGTCTGACTTCCCTGTCCCAAGCTTGCAACTCACAGCAGGGAGGGTAAGAGTTTGTGGCTGAGCCATCCTATCTCCAAGACCCAATTGGGGAGGACGAGGACACATGTGCACCTATAGACTTGTGCTAATATTTGCCAGGAGGGCACTTAAGAATCCAATGGGTTTTATGTAATCTTACCACCAAATGTGGCACACAAGAAAATGTGAAGGTGGAGGGCAGATGAGGAGAGAGGTGACAGAGGAAGCAGCCTTCTCTTTAGCAAGACATGAGAGAAATGTGATACACTTACAGTAACCAGAAACAACACACACAAAGCCTTCAGCAGAAGGTTCACTCTACATCTCCCTCCTCCTCCTCCTCTTCCTCCTCCTCCTCCTCCTCCTCCTTCTGCCACACACACTGCATTCCTTTCAGAGAGCCAGGGTCGCTGTAAGGGGCACCTGGCCTGCCCACTTAACCGCTGCCAAAATGTTGCATGCCAGCGTGGAAGACAAACCAAACTGCACAAAACCCAGTGTGTATTTGATGTACATAAATACCTTTAAATAAAATAAATTCAGTGATGACTTGTTGGTGTTGTAAATCTTTCCCCTCCCTAGTTTCTCCTTTCCTTGCGTATTATGGCATTTGACAGTGTGGTATATATTCTTCCAGACGTTTTTCTATTTTTTAAAAGACTTCATTAATTTTTAGGGAGAGGGGAGGGGAGGGAGAAAAACATCAATGGATGTGTAAGCGAAACATCAATGCGTAAAAGAAACATCAATCACAAGTCCCCAACTGGGGAAATTTCCTGCAACCCAGGCAGGTGCCCTGATTGGGAATAGAACTAGCAACCTTTCAGTTGGCAGGCCAGCACTCAAGCCACTGAGCCACATCAGCAGGGCCCAGATGCTTTTCTATATATTTATACACTGGTTTTGCCCCCACCCCACTTGACAATGTATCCTGGCTGATGGAATCTCTTCATGTCAATATGCATAGATTTACCTATTCAAAAAATATATATAGTATATTCTATAATTTATTCAACCATTCCACTATTGGTGGACATCTTTCTCTTTATTCGTTATTGGTACTCTAACAAAAAATGGCATCCTGTTCTCTTCATTTTCCTCCAGACCATCACCTCAATCCCAGTATCAATTCTGTCCCTTTCCAATGAGTCTCTATCCTGCCCTTGCCAACAGCTCAATTCTCTTGTCCCCTGATGGTCTACCACAGTCACCCTCCTGACCCCCATTTTAGAGCATGCCCCTATCTGTCTTCTCTACACATGCCTCAGAGCTGCTGAGATGAATGGAGAAAGCTGAACAACCAGAACACTGGGGCAGCGAAAAACAAAGAGCCTGCAAACCTCACCAGACTTCACTTGCTGCTTAACCTTCTCTGTATCTTTGCACAGTTTCCTCTCCCACCCCCAGGGCAACTGGTCTAAATCCTAATCCTCACTCAAGACCCCTTCACACCTTTTTCTCTTACGTGACAACTTTGTCAGCTTTTTAAAGAAAAAATTAAGACCACTGAACATAAAATTCTTCACCGCCCCATACCCACACCTACACACTTACATGTCTGCACAGATCCTTTCCTTTCTCCCTTCTGACAAGTGATAAAACTCCTTGCTCTGAGTTAAAGCAAGTCCCTTCTAGATCCTTCATTCATTAGACACTCAGAACCTGCCATGTAACATAACTAAAAGTGATGCAGACTCGGTCAGTTTGCATCTTCTTTGTTAACTTCTGTCTCAATGATTTCTTTCTTTCTCCTTGTAAGGTCTCCCTTAAAAGTCCCTCCCTTTACGGTGTGTTTCTCTTTAAGATACTCCCCATCTGCTCTAGCTGGTGTGGCTCAGCGGATTGAGTGCCTGGCCTGCTAATCAAAGGATTGCCGTTCCATTCCTAGTCTAGGGCACATGCCTGGGTTGTGGGGCGGGTCCTCAGTAGGAGGCGCTTGAGAGGCAACCACACATTGATGTTTCTCTCCCTCTCTTTCCCTGTCTAAAAATAAATAAATAAAATCTTTTTTTTTAAGATTTTATTTATTTATCTTTAGAGGGGAAGGGAAGGAGAGAGGGAGAGAAATATCAATGTATGGTTGCCTTTCGTGTGTCCCCTGCTGGGAACTGGCCTGCAGGGAACCGGCCTGCAACCCAGGCATGTGCCCTGACTGGGAATTGAACCGTGACTGCCCGGTTCGCAGGCCCACGCTCAATCCACTGAGCTACACCAGCCAGGGCCCCATCTTGTTTTCTTAAGCAGATTTCCCAAAAATGTTCTTGGCTTCCCATCCCTTCTTCCTCACCTCCCATTCATTCCACAGCCCACCTTGATCCGGCTCTTGTTCTGGGGAAACTCGTTTTCTAAAGGTCACTAGTTACCAAGTACAATAGGCACTTCTCTGTCCTTGTCTCGCTTCACCTCTCTGTGATATATGTCACTGCTCTTCACTCCTTGAAACTCCACTCTCTTGGCTTCTGTACCCCTGCTCTCCTGGCTCCTTTACTTCTTTGTCTAGCCATCCCTTCTCAGCTTTCTCCCTTCAGCCTCTTAAATACTGGTCTATACCAGGGTTCAGCCCTTGGTTCTCTCCTTGCTCTCTCTGGGAGATGCCATCCACGCCCACAGATTTCACAACAATAATTAAGTCTGTATCCCCAGGACAGCCCATTCTGCTGAGCTGTGGTCCCCTAAGTCCAATTGATCTCAGGTACCCCTACCATGTTCCAAACTGAATTCATCTTTTTGCCAAAACTGTTCCTATTCACCACCATCCTAGTCGCCACCATCCTAGTCGCCACCATCTGTCTTCACCTTAGCCAGAAGCCTGGGGTTCATTCTCAATGTCTTCCTTTCCAACAAACCCCACAAATCACTAAGAATTTTCCAAGTTGACATCAAACTATAACTTTAGGTGCCATCTCTCCTTTTCATCCTAACAGCTACTGTTTTTGTTCATCATCTTGTGCCTAGACTTTTGCAGTACTCCAGGCATCCTCCAGAATGATGCAGAGTGGCCCTCTCTAAAAACAAGCACATAAATACTTTAAAACCATTTATGGGTTCTACTTCCTTAAGACATGCTTTTGATTAGCCTCAGGCAGGAGGTTACTCCTAAAAACTGGGCGGCGACTTAGCGCACAGAAGCCCCTAACTGAAGAGTGAAACAAGCCAGCCCTGGCCGCATCCCCATTGCCTCGGTGACCTGACGGTACCAGCGACTGCACGGACTACACTCCGCCCTCCGGGGCCAAGGCACCGCCCCCTGCGCCAGGTGAGCCCAAGCAGCTCACTCGGACGGGAAGTAACCAGCGACGGGGGGCGGAGCCAAGCTCGCCCGGCCCCACCCCTGCCGGCGTCGGCGCCTGCGGGCCGGGCTCCGATCACGTGACGGCAGAGCAGGTGAGAGCCGCTTCCGGGGTTGGAAGCCCGGATCCCGGGACGTCCACTCGGTCGGGTACGCGGGAGACCATGGCATCCTCCTCGGCCCCGCCGGCCACCGTACCGGCGAGTACAGCGGCCCCCGGCCAGGGTTTCGGCTTCGCCTCCAAAACCAAAAAGAAGCATTTTGTGCAGCAAAAGGTGAAGGTGTTCCGGGCGGCTGACCCACTGGTGGGCGTGTTCCTGTGGGGCGTCGCCCACTCGGTGAGACCCGGCCCTAGCGCGCCTCCCTCCCCGGTAGACCTTACCCGAAGCCCTCAAGCTCCAGAGCCTTGGCGAGTCCCCGTCTCCGGTGCCCCTCGCGCTGCTGCCACTTCCCCCCGGGCTGTCCTGTTCCCTGCTCACCAGCCTCCAGGCGTTCTCCCGGAGTATCTTCTCTGTAGACTTTTTCCCTTAATCGTAGACTTTGTCTCCCTCTCCGCCCTTCACTCTGCCACTGTAGTTCCGCCTTCCCCACCTGAGATCCAGCTCTCTGCCTCCTTCCTGCCGGATCCAGCCTCAGCCCCGGGCTGCCGAGACCGGCCAGGACCCGGCTCCAGCTGAAAGGACATTAGGGGTAGTAGTATCTCTTCTGGGTTGGTGATGAGGTCTCCGGTGAGAGTGTGTGTGGAAGGGAGCAGGGAGGGTAGCTGGATAAGGGATACGGTTCACTTTCCTTTCCACCTTGCTTTCCAGCTGCCGCCCTTGACTTTGGAACTTTGGCTTTGAGGGAAGCTCCGGGCTTCCTGGACCTTCTAATCCTGCTTGTCCTTTCCTTTCCCCTCCAGAGGTACAGCATTTCAGAGAAGCGACCCCTTGCTGAGCCTAACGGTTGCACTCACTCAGCCTTTGGTCTTAACTGCATCCCCATTGTGGGCTAGAGTGATGATGTTTGGTGTAAGTGGGAGTCGTCCTTGACTGAAGAGATGGTGGATAAGTGCTGGCCATGGGCACACTGTGGTGGTGAACTTCAGAAGCAGAAAACTGCTGTAGAGGGTGTAGCCTGAGAATCAGGAGGGGGCCAGAGAGGCTAGTGCATCTCCTTTCCTGAGGATAACCCAGGTGAAGGAATTACAGCCATTGCCTTCTTGCTTTAGATCTGGAGTTGGGAGGGTTGCCACGACCTTGAAAGCTACAGGCAGTATTTTATGTCATCTTCCATGAATTGTTATAATTATGGTGGGGTTGTAGAGGTGGAAGAGGGTGAGGAAGCATACAGTTTTTGTCACATTCTTAATTTGTGGTTTAAAATGTTCTTTGGGGTCTGTCAGCCCCCTTTTGCATTTGTAGCTCTGTGGAGTGTTCCCAGCTCCATGGGTAGTAATGTCTTATCAGCGAGTACCCAGTCTAAGGCACTTGGGATGGGCAAGGCTGATCGAGGTAGGGCTGCCTCTCATGTGTACCTGACTCATCCATCCCTTTGGAAAGCTTAACAAGGAGGGTTTTCCTTTAGTAAGAGTTAAGGGAATTACACATAAAACCTGCCTCAGCTTCCCTAGGTCTCTATACTTTAGCTTCCACACTGTGCTCTCCAGCCAACACACATTTACTTCGAATGTCCGGAATGGAGAAATTCCTTGAACATATGTCTTAGTGATGATTCAGCCCACTTTACAGCAGGTGGTGAAGAGGGGGTATGAAGAACTGTAGCTGAATTTTAGGCTGTAAATCTCAAGTGGCTTTTTTTTTTTCCTGGAGGAGTACATTCTGTCCTCCTTTTCTGCTGAGAATGAGAGGATCTGGGTTTCACTGCAGTGTGTGGGATTTAGGTTAGATTCACTTCCATGCTTCTATCGAGTGCTCAAGTAAGGATAGACAAGGCATCCACTTATTCAGTTACTAAACTTCAGGACCACCGCGTGCCGAACACTATGCTAGCAGGCAGCTGAGAGACGCCAGAGATGAGAGCAGGTCCTTGCAGGAAGAGCTCAGAATCTAGGTGGGGAACTTACATAAACTTGTGGTTAGTCAGATGATGAGTACACTGTTAAAGATGGGTGAAGGCTACTGGGGCAGCACTGGGAGAAAGCACATCACCTCAAGATTTCTTAGTGAAGGAACTGCCTTTCTACCCTGAATTAGATGCTGATTCTGGAGGCTGAGAAGAGCATGTGA